GGGAGAGAGGGGTGTAGGGGCGGTGTATTTACCTTCTTTGCTGCCTGTTCCTCTTCTACGCCGTCTCCAATTACAACGTAAACTGCTTTTCTCCCAAACCTTTGCATTATTCTCTCGAAGCAGCACTCCTTCCCTGCAAACAGAGAGGTGGCTTAGAAAATGTGACAACCTGAGGTTTGGGGCAGTGGGAGGAGCTAGAAAATGATTGGGGAGGATCATGCATCACAGGGGAGGAGCTATGACATCAAAAGGGAGGAACATGGAGCACAGAGGAGAAGCTGGAACATCACAAGGAAGGGGAAAAGCTAAAACATCACAGGGGAGGAGCATGGGGCACAGGTAAAAAAATAGACCACAGGGGAGGAACATGGATTACAGGGGAGGAGCTATAGCATCACAAAGGAGGAGCATGGAGCAAAGGGAATGAGCTAGAACATCACAAGGGAGGAGCTAGAACATCACAAGGGAGGAGCATGGAACACAGGAAAAAAATAGATCACAGGGGAGGAGCTAGAACATCACAAGGGAGGAGCATGGATCACAGGGGAGGAGCTAGAACACCTTAGAGGAGAAGCATGGGTCACAGTGGAGAAGCTAGACATCACAAGGGAAGAAGTTGTGGAGGAGCTAGAACATGACTAGGGAGGAACATGTGGAGGAGCTAGAACATGACAAGGGAGGAGCATGGAGCACAGGGGAGGAGCTAGAACATGACAAGGGAGGAAGTTGTGGAGGAGCTAGAACATGACAAGGGAGGAGCATGGAGCACAGGGGAGGAGCTAGAACATGACAAGGGAGGAAGTTGTGGAGGAGCTAGAACATGACAAGGGAGGAGCATGGAGCACAGGGGAGGAGCTAGAACATGACAAGGGAGGAAGTTGTGGAGGAGCTAGAACATGACAAGGGAGGAGCATGGAGCACAGGGGAGGAGCTAGAACATGACAAGGGAGGAAGTTGTGGAGGAGCTAGAACATGACAAGGGAGGAGCATGTGGAGGAGCTAGAACATGACAAGGGAGGAACATGTGGAGGAGCTAGAACATGACAAGGGAGGAGCATGGAGCACAGGGGAGGAGCTAGAACATGACAAGGGAGGAAGTTGTGGAGGAGCTAGAACATGACAAGGGAGGAAGTTGTGGAGGAGCTAGAACATGACAAGGGAGGAAGTTGTGGAGGAGCTAGAACATGACAAGGGAGGAAGTTGTGGAGGAGCTAGAACATGACAAGGGAGGAGCATGTGGAGGAGCTAGAACATGACAAGGGAGGAAGTTGTGGAGGAGCTAGAACATGACAAGGGAGGAAGTTGTGGAGGAGCTAGAACATGACAAGGGAGGAAGTTGTGGAGGAGCTAGAACATGACAAGGGAGGAAGTTGTGGAGGAGCTAGAACATGACAAGGGAGGAGCATGTGGAGGAGCTAGAACATGACAAGGGAGGAACATGTGGAGGAGCTAGAACATGACAAGGGAGGAGCATGGAGCACAGGGGAGAAGCATGCACTCTAAAGGTGACCATACGTATATACATTTTCTAGGAGAGATCTTAGACGAGCGATTGATCATTGATTAAATGATTGAACAATGCGACACATCGGTAATGACTGAAAACATTATCTATCAGCAACGATCAATTACAAAAAATCATTTAGTTGAAGTTTATTATGATCGGTTGTCTGAAATCCAAATATTGATCTGATCAATGAAATTCCACCATTGCCAAATGACATGTGTGGCCGCCTGGTGGTGAAATCCTCCGGGTCTCCCTCATGTCTTCTGGTAAAGAACACTCCGGAGCAGCCATGTTGGTTTCAGAAAGCTCAGAGTACTATAATCGGCAGCAATATTTTAGCAAGAGCCAAACAGGTCATTTTGGACCTCTGGGATGCACAAGGCCCCAAGACCACCCCCC